GAGGAAGGGGGGGATTTGATAACAGTCTTCAAATACCTGAAGGATGACTATAGAGAAGATGGACATGGGCTTTTCTCTGTGGTCATAAGGGACAGGGCTAGGAACAATAGCCTCACACTGCAGCAGAAGAAATTTAGGCTGGAGATTAGGAGGAACTTTTTTACTATAAGGCTGGTCAAGCATTAGACTAGGCTATATAGAGAAATTGTGGAATCTCCATCCTTGGAAATTTTCAAGAGCCAAACTGGACAGACATTTGGCTGGGGTGATTTAGTCAGGGATGATCCTGCTTTGAGCAAGGAGCTGGACTAGATAACCTGATGAGGTCCATTCCAGTCCTACTCTGCTAAGATCCTAAGTACTTTTACATGGCAATCAAGTCACTCCTTGACCTTCACTTTGTTTAAGCAAACTGAGTACCTGGAGCCTTTCACAAGAAAACATGGGTTTCCAATCCTTTAGTCATTCTTGTCTTTTCTCTAAATCCTCAACAGCCTTCTTAAATTACAAACACCAGAACTGGACAGTTTTCTAGTAGTAGCAACAGTGCTGGGTACAGAGTCAATTTGATCTCCCAACCCAATGTTCCTGTTTTATACAAAGATCCAAGGCTTGCATTAGAAATGTTGGCCACAGCTACTCACTCGTGGCTTATATCCAAGCACATTATTCACCATGACCACTGAGGCTTTTTCAGAATCACTCCTTCTCAGAACAAAATCCTCCCCCTCGTATGTCAGACCTACATACTTTGTTTCTAGATATGTAACCTGGACAAGTTGAAACACATATTGTTTGTTCCCAGTTTACCAAGCAAATCAGATTGCTCCGTACCAGTGACCCATCCTTGTTATATACCACTCCTCCAATCTTTGTGTTATATGCAGCTTTCTCAATAATGATTCATTCATGTCATTCATAAAAATGTCAAATAGCACATCACCAATAACCAATCTCTCTTTCCCCACACTAGAAATGTATCATCTTAGTGGTAATTCCCTTGTTTAAATTTACCTTTTGAGACCTACAAATTAACTGATTTTGAAGTTACCTAATATGTGCCATATTCACTTTGTATCCTTTTAGTTCCATAAGCAAAATAGTGAGAGGTACCAAGTGCTTTATAGGATGGGACAGTCTTAGGATTTTGCATCAAAACTAATACCTCTATCAACTAAACTTGTAATCTCATACCAAGTTTGACAAGACCTATTTTCCATAAACCCACATTGATTGACAAAAAATTAATTTCCCTCCTTTAATTCTTTATTGATCCAGTCCTGTTTCAGCTTTTCTGCATTTGAACCTGACACTAATACCAGGCACACAGGCCTATAATTACCTGGCAATTTTCTTTAAAGTCAGGAGTAATTCAGCTGAAGTCAATGGAGCTATGCAAATGGAAACTAGTACAACTGAAAGGAAGCAAAAATCTGATGTTATTTTTATGTAACTAATACAAACCTAAAACAGCCGTCAGTGCAAGAATGTAAAGCAAAAAGTATTTTCATTTTGTTTAAAATTAATTTTGCTCTAAACTAGCCACAGATACCAAAATGTGCTGTGTAAACTCCTTGCTAATTGTCAGATGATTAAGACACTATAACTGAAGCCAACTAAGAGCAAGCCACTGCAGATGTTAGCATTAGCCATTTTAAAGCTTTGGACTATTTTTAACAGTGTTAAAAAGAATATAAAACATGGAATCATTCAAATTAAAAATGCACAAACTTAAAGTAGCAGTGTTTTGAAAATAAGATACCATAGTGACACCTGTAAACACTTTGTGATTGTACTGTGCTCTCATAAATAATTATGATTATTCCAACTATTCTCACAGCTGCCAAATCCAAGCAGGGGGCAAATGCATCATTGAAGTACACAAACATTTCACGGATTTTAAACACATGACAACTGAATGTTCTTCCTTATTACTATAGTATTATAGTAACTAGGAGGAGAACTGAAATAGGGAGGAGGAGGGGTAATTTTCTTATCTTGAGGTCAGGTTGTTCTTCTTATGTGGGGAACAAATACTTTAATTTTTCCAGCAGTATGAAGTTAGGGATTGGTTGTGTGTAGGGGCTTGGCTTACAAATGTCTGGAGCTGGATCCTCAGCTGGTTTAACTGTTTATATCCATTTAGGTAAATGGAGTTGGTATTACCAGCTGTGAATCTTGTTTCTATATTTTTGGAGTACGCAGTTTACACATCTTTTAACTCCTGGAGTTTCAATTTGCAGGCTGTCTGCATAGTTTTGTCATTTCTGCATAACGTAAGTTGACACCCCACAAATGCAATTAAAAACCAAGAGAAGCAAAATTACATGACACAGTACTAAAATCCCAAGGAAAACATGTCCTTACCAGTCTCTATCTGCCCCACTCCAATTCCTGTTTTCACATTACTTGCCTCACATATTCAGTTGTTGTGTCCCTACTTGCCTCCCTAATCAAGGGAGGCTTCATGTTTTCTTGGTGGGCTTAGGCCCAGGTGGGCACAACAAATAAGCCTCTCTCTATCAGTGGCCAGCACCAACTGTTTCAGGGACAGGTGCAAAAACCCTGAAACCTTGCACCCACAGTAAGTTTCTTTTTAACTCCCTATACTTAGAAGCTGACATTTGCTCCAAAGCCCTTTCAAACTGCTTGATTTTTTACTATTTCCTTCTGTTAAATACAATATACTCTATTATTCGTCTAAACATCCAGTGGTTTTTGGAGTCCTGCTAAGCTCTTGCCCTTTGTATCTGGTGGCAATAAGTCCCACTGACATATTGTGTGTTGTGGGAAATGCCGGTTTTGGCTTTGCCACACCTTTCAGTTTCACCGAATAATTTTCTTTCATGTACTATAAAGTAGAATGCGTGGACACTTCTACTCTACCTTACGTGCACTGTTCATTATTGTTGAGAATTTTATCGTATCGCATCATGTTGTTTTATCTGGTTTGATTTTTTGCTGTCTTTCTTCCACTTTCTTTCCCCCATCGTCTGTCTAGGACAGGGGTAGGCAACGTTTTTTGGCTGGAGTGCCAAAAAAAACACAATGTCTACCTAGAAAGGTGCCGGAGTGCCGACACGCTGGAGCCCAGAGCAGGTGTTAGCAGTCTCCTGGCTGCAGCCAGCCCACAAAGCCCAGCCTGCTTGCAACAGGGCTTGCAGCCTCCCAGCTGCCTGCTGGGAGCAGCCTGTGCTTCGTGGCTGGCAGCAGCTGCTTAGAGCCCGGGCTGGCGGTGGTGTGTGGAGCAAAACGGCCATGCATGCCACGCTTGGCACTTCTGCCAGGGGTTGCTGACCTCTGGTCTAGGATCTTCTTTAGCAACCATCACTATAGTAAACAAGGACTAAGCAAATATTTATAGATTTCTTTCACAATGGTTTGAGAGGTAGAAAAGCATTATTTTCTCAATTGTACAGACGATGAACCAAGGCAGAGAGATTAAATGACCTGCTCAGAGTCAAAAAGCAGGGAAATATTATTTGCATCATGGTAAAGACTGACTAACAAGGCCCCATGGCTCTATGCTACAAACATTGGACAGTTGCTGCCTCACTGAGCTTATCATCTAAACAGACAAGACAGAAAAAGGTCCAGGGAAAGTTTTTATATAACCATGTGGCTAGTCCATTAAAAGATACCACCCACAAGAATTCTTGCCTCCTATGCATCTCCTGGACTATCACAGCAACATCACCTTAACATTACCATAACACACACATTGTGATCAACCTGGTGGTAGCAGTAACACCCTTGTATTTATAGTTTTTTTTTCTAGGGGGGATTAGCTAAATGGAAAGACAAAGGATGGGAGAGAAGCCACCGAAGTGAGGGGTCTAGGGGACAGGGCATAGGATGTATAGATTCTGAGGGCAGAACAGACCACGAGAGCACTTTACTGACTTCCTTGATAGAAGTTTACCCTTTCACTGAGTGCAATTATTTGCTTTTGACTTTAAAATATCTTCCAGAAAAGCAACTAGTCTTGACTTACAAGCACCAGGAGATGGGTCACCCATTGCATCCCTTTTAGAGAAGGGGACTGTGGAGGGAAGTGGAAGGTGGCTCCAATGAAGGCATGGTCAGCAGGAGGGAGCAGACAGCCAAGGGAAGAGGATGTCCAGCATGATCATGGTGGGAACCAGCCTAAAGACAGTCCGCCACCCCCAGCCCCTGCTGCTGCACCCACACCTGCCTCCTCCTCCTCCAGTCCTCCTAGGCTAGCTCCACCCACACTGCCAACTTCAGCTTTTCAGAAGTCATGAGTGAGGCCTTAAAAAGATAGCACGGTTTTAAAAAAAGAACACACACCGGGCTGTTTTCTGGGCCTTTCAGAGACCCAGAGATGGGGGAGGGCACATTTTTAACCTTGTCTCTTGCACCCTGGCAGGGGAGGGGAGAAAGTTACTTTTTCTTGTGCAGGAAAGGAGCGAACCTCTCTGATCGCAGCCCCCAGGAGCAGGGCGGCTGTCCAGGAAACTGCTCAGGCTCACAAGAGACAGACACTGAGGGTTGGCCACGCTTTCTTCAGCTGGCCCCCAAGGCCCCGTGCAGGGGGCGGGGGGGCAGACACGGGGATCCTGCTGCCCCTGCTAAGATGATGTGGGGGGAGTCACATGACAGGTGCTGGAGGGCGAAGAGGGGAGGGGGAGATCCGGCCCGGGGTCCCCACCCCGCAGGCAGCCCGGCCGTCTGGCGCCGGGCGCCTGCTCCCGCGGCCGGGCACCCAGCGCGCACTGCGCATGCCCACTGCGCAGGCCGGAGGCGGGAACCGCGGCCGGGTCACGCGGTCTGCGCGCGGGAAGCGTCAGCGCCTCCTCCTCCCCCCGCGGGCCCCGCC